ATTAAGGGCTGTTATCAAGGCAAAAGGCGGTCATATCGAATGATCTCTTGTTTCCTTATTTGTTACTGTTAAATAAAGCTATTTCTGTTTAAAAATCTTCTTCCAGTGAAACTTCTTGGTGTGCAATGCCTTGAGTATCTTGTTGCAATAACTATGATGCACCCTGTATGTGTTATATCAAAAACTTTCCCATTCTCTCTACTTTAATTCCATACCTGAACGAGCAAAAACAAACGTACTGGTGTCGAGATATGAGCGTTTGTTTGAGAGTAAACTTCGACTACGCGACGCTCCCATAGGGGGACCGTTCTATTAGAGTTTTTACGGTATTTAGATTCCCTAGACTCTTAGCCAAATTTTGGCAATTCGAGTTATGAGATTTGGAACTAATCTTGAGGAGTAGCACACGTTCAAGGACGCGACAATACTTATTAGCCACCCTTTATATTGTGATACAAGGTATTCAAACACCGAGACGATAGTTTTGGTGTTTGTTTAAATTGTTTAAACCTGATTTTCAAAAGCTGATCTTCATAGTTTCGATCGAAAATGATGAATGAATTCAACTTGAGAAAAGAAGATGCAACATTCTCGAGATTCTGGAAGGCAAAAGTATTAGTACATATTTATGAAAAACAGTTTTTGTTCGCTATTCTTTAGGAGTCTCTGTTTGATCTCAACATTTTCTTTAAAAAAACTCTTAACAATGTAAAAATATTGCAGTAGCAAATAGCACAATTGTAGTGTTTGTTTAAACTTACCAAATCAAGGTGATCGTTCAATTTCGCTTCCAACTTTTTGGAAAGATCCTCTTGGTGACCGTCGAAACCCTAAATTAAGTAGTTTCACATTACACATCAATAAATAACTATTTCCGAAGAATTTTCGAATTTCGAAAAACATTCGAAGACTTCTTCATCCGACAATTTCACGGGTTCTGGTGTATTTATTAGATGTTTCTTAATTTCAAAAAAGAATGATTTAATTCGTCCTTTCATTTCATCGTCGTTCTCAGGAAAATCTTCTTTATGCAAACTCATCTGTAATTGAAACTTTAAAATAACTTATCTATAAAATTGGAATAATATTAAATAATATAAAGTATGTATTTGAAGACGGGAAGCAAAAAAGACAAAATCTACCAAAAAGAAAATCGATACGAAAAACTCCTTATCAGGATTGCAGTTCTAGATCTGTGCGAGAGTTTCCAAGTGATTCATCCTTCCAAAAAAGGCTGAAATAAACAAACGAATTAACTCTGAAAACAATGAAAACAAGTTGTGTTGAGGATCTCATTCATTTAAACTTTTACTATCATTCTGTTTTTTGAATATTTTTATTAAGGCTTTTTATCTTACTAGGCAAACGGTCAGATTTTGAAAGCACGAATCCAAACCAAAGCTATATGACTTACACAAGTCGGAGTCGGACACGGGCAACACGATGGTGTTTTTAGTTTTTACCCAAACGCGCTAGATTTCTGTAAAAACGAAATTTGACCCCCTAGTGCACTGAGCGACGTATGAGTTTGTAAGGACTCACCAGAAAAAAGTGACTCAGTGGTGTGGTGGTAGTGCCGCTGTCTCCGAGTTTGAGTCCTGCCCAGGCGACGATTTCATGAAATACTTGGAATCACATTTTTTTTGTAATGTGCTTGTTATTTCAGTATAACTATGAAGAAAATTTGATCTATCAAAAAACTGTCTTTCCATGCCAAACTTTATTGGCAATGTGTACACTCTTAACGTGTAGTTCTATTAGGTTGAGGAAAAAGTAATGTCGGTTTTGAATTCCCGTTGTTGGCAATTTTCCATTTCTTTGTTTATGCGATTTTCTTAACAAAACAACTCGTGCTATCGTTAGCTCTACTCTGATGAATTCTAAAATCTGATGAAACATGGATTCATATGAGAATGTGAAGCGCAAAAATCAGTGGATCTGTGCATGATTCTCGAACTTTTCTCCCATAAGAAAACTCTTTTACAAATATAATCATGAATATCGGGTTTTCAAGTTGGTTGTGGGGGTTGTAGAGAAAGCCAGTGATTTTTGCGCTTCACATTCTCATATGAATCCATGTTTCATCAGATTTTAGAATTCATCAGAGTAGAGCTAACGATAGCACGAGTTGTTTTGTTAAGAAAATCGCATAAACAAAGAAATGGAAAATTGCCAACAACGGGAATTCAAAACCGACATTACTTTTTCCTCAACCTAATAGAACTACACGTTAAGAGTGTACACATTGCCAATAAAGTTTGGCATGGAAAGACAGTTTTCATGGAAAGTTTGGCATGGAAAGACAAAAAAGTTTAAAAGTTTAGCCTGTTTCCTTTTATTTGTGAGCAAGTTTAAGCCATTTATCTTGCCATATAGTTAACGAAAAAAAGACTTAATTTAAAGCAACACAAACAGCTCTGGAAATAATCACACAAGAAAACCCTCGATAAAAAAAGGAAATGACCCTTGTTCCGAAAATAATTGTCAGCAAATAAAAGCAGGTTAAAGGAAAAAGAAAGGTTAACAATATGAAGACTTTGGCATACAAGAAAGTGTGTAAAATGTGGGAAACATTTGAAACGAAATCACAAGAGCTAACCGAGAGGGCAATGAAATTTCAGCAGAATTGAAAAATCGAAAAAAAATCTTCAGAAAATCACAATAAGGGCTAAGGCTAAGCGGAAAGAGCAAAAATAGAAATATACCTATGGATATGATGCGTCAAAATCGATGCAGATGAGCTTTCTGACCACAGTTAAGTTTGGCCCAATCCATCCAACCTCACAGACAAGCAGTGTTTCAGTGGCTTTGAGATTCTGAATCGAATTCCCAGATTGAAGACGAACGAGGTCACGAACAAAGATACCTGAAAATCACAAAAATTCTCGTATAGTTGATAAAAAAATTAACAAGAGTATATTAACCCTGAACATCGATTTAAACTTGAATAATTAACGAGTCAAATTATGTAGTTAATAAATTCTACTTTAGAAGAAAATTTGAAGTCTGGACAAATTTGCTTATCTTATAGCTTACATTACTAGGTAATTTGGAACCACTTACCTTTATCCACATCCCACAGCTTGACCCAGCCATCGTAAGAACCTGTCACCAAAAGTCCCGAGTCGAGCAATTCGAATGAAGAGATGGTCGAAGTGTGACCATTTACGCCATGGAAGTGGTGAATGCATGAACTACCCTATGAATGTCCCAAACCTAAAGAAAACGAAGTAGTTGTCATAAGATTGATTAAACGTACCCCAACGTCCGAGCCGGTATAGCAGGCGACCAAACTGTTTCCGCGAAGTTGCATGCCATAGTGGTGATAGGGATTGACTGATTCTTGACTGATAAGAATTGCGATGCATGCTAAAAGAAACAAATATAAATGATATTGCAACATTGCCTAGGAGGACAAGTGAGGCTCTAACTTGGAGTCCCCCCTGGCCCTTTCACTCAATTGTAATCTATTCGTCTTATCGTACTACTGTAAATAAAGATTCATATCTTCCGGGTCTATGCAACCGCAGTTCAGGTCAGTCATTTCACAGGGACTTCCCTCTAATACGTTGAAGTTGAGTCGGGTTGTCAGGGTGTTAGAGATGGCAGGATATCAAAAGGGGTCCACTCACTTTAACTTAAGCCAAATTCTAGTCGATATCCGCTTACTCCTAGGAACGAACATAAAGGGAAAACCCCCGTCGACAAATGTTTTCCTTATTGTTATCGTAAATACTGTAATCGAGGGTTACACCTCCTTCCTAGTTTTTCATCTTTTGAAAACTTATCATTTCATCTTTAGTCGAAACAATTCCAAATTCCAGAAACATTTTGTTTGAATATTCAACAGTTTCTTTGATAAGCCACGGCTTTACTCTGGATTCATAAAGATTTAGATGCTTAAGAATATCGATTGCAGTGAAAAGATCAGAGCTTTCGTCCCATTCATCCTATAATGATAACAAAACAATGAAACTCAAGTTACTCAAGCAAAAAACCTACGTGTTGAGTAATACCGAAGTATTCACGGCGAAGAACTTCAACAAGTTGCTCGTTAACTTTTTTCCTAAATTAGCTGTGTTTCTGTTTTTAGACAGACTGAAAACTTGTAAAGTTCGCATCCGACCTCATTCACTCGATCGGCGATCTCTTCGAAAAGCTTCAATTTATGCAGCTCATCTCTATGTTATAATTCTTCGCTTATCAGCTGATCAGCTCTTTTTTTGTCACTTTTCAATCATTTTTTCTAAGCGCTGGTTAATGTTAAAAAATGTGTGTTTATCTCAAAAAATTTAACAATGTAAAAACATTGCAATCGCAAATAGCACAATTGCAGTGTTTGTTTAAACTTACCAAATCAAGGTGATCGTTCAATTTCGCTTCTAACTTTTTGGAAAGATCCTTTTGGTAACCGAAGAAATTCTAAATTAGGCAGTTTCAAATTACACATGAATAACAAACTATTTCCGAAGAATTTTCGAAGGCTTCTTCATCCGACAATTCCTTCTTCGGTACTGATTCTTCTTCGGTATCACTGATTAGTTCTGTTAGTTCGAGTGAATTTATCACTGGTTTGCGTATCCTAAATGCATATTAGATAATAGAAAAAAAACACTTTTTCCAATTCAATCTTCAAATTTTTGATCTGGATCATTAGGTAGGTAAGTGTAATTTACCTCTCAACCAAACTAATGTAAATTGTATGCGAAAAACTCTGGAAATTTTCCTCAATTTGATCAAAGAATGATTTAATTTGTCCTTTCATTTCATCGTCGCTTTCAGGAAAATCTTCTTTGTGCAAACCCATCTGTAATTGAAACTTTAAAATCACTTATCCATAAAATTGGAATAATATTAAATAATATAAAGTATGTATTTGCAAACTTGAAGTACTTGAAGCAAAACCTACCAAAAAAAATCTATACGAAAAACTTCTTCTTATCATGAGTTTGATGACTATTTGATGACTATTTGATGCCTTTTTTTCAATCCAGAACTCACCCAGGTTTCCAAAGTGATGCTGGATCGAACGTCTCCCAAACAGTGATTAAAACCGAGAGAAAATTCGACATCAAATATGTTAACACGATGATTGCCAGGGTTCGACGGCGCCACGGATTCAGGCCTAAAAATTTGGCTTTAAGATTTGATTTTCTAAGTTTAGGCTAACTAGGGAAGCACGAATTCAAAGCTATATGACTTACGTAAGTCGGAAACGGGCAACACGATGGTGTTTTTAGTTTCTACCCAAGCGCGCTAGATTTCTGTAAAAACGAAATTTGATCCCCTAGTGCACTGAGCGACTTATGAGTTTGTAAGGTCTACTGTCGCTCACCAAAAAAAGTGACTCAGTGGTGTGGTGATAGTGCCGCTGTCTCCGAGTTTGAGTCCTGACAAGGCGACGATTTCATTAAATACTTGGAATAAACATTTTTTATTTGGTTGTCAATCTATCAAAAAATGGTCTTTCCATGCCACACTTTATTGGCAATGTGTACACTCTTAACGTGTAGTACTATTAGGTTGAGGAAAAGTAATGTCGGTTTTGAATTCCCGTGGTTGGAATTTTCCAGTTCTTTGCTTATGCGATTTTCTCAACAAAACAACTCGTGTTTTCGTTAGCTCTACTCTGCTTCAAAAAAGGCAAATCTCATGATTTTTGGGTGAGAATTCTAACATCTGATGAAACATGGATTCATATGGGAATGTGAAGCGCAATGCTTGTTTGTGTCTAACATTGTAGCGTCTTTTGTACTGAATTTTTTATTAGGTTGCGCTGTGCTTCTTTCGAAACATCAACGGAAATCTTTTTTTAGCGCCCTTAGTGACAGGAGACGAGAAAGAAAGAAGGCACAGGAAAGCAATCTATTTGCTCAGTTAACAATAAGTGCGAAAGTGTGAGCTTTGTTATCAAAAGAATAAACAAAAGCCGATTAAATTTTGCCGTGATTTTCAGAGAAGTGCTTAAGGAAAAATCTTTGGGAAAAGAATAGTTTGGCGATCAGTAAACTATCGGTAAACAAGCAAGTGCATGAGACCATCTTCCGAGCCATCAGTAGCCACCGTGATAATCGCACGATTCTTAAATGAGAGCATCATGAGGTTCTTCGGGAGTTTCTTTCACGCATTCTAAACCCATTCTAGATAGGTTTCCATTGGTGGAGCCGGATTTTCATTATGAGTCTTCGTCTTCACCCATTCACCATCCAATCTTCAGATTAGACTCAAATCCTCGTTTTAAAAGAAGCATTCTAAACCACATCCGGTGCTTGAATGTATTTGAAGCAAGCTCCAGGTACCAGAATCGAATCTATCCTAATCCTTTAGAATTTTCTTTGTAGCTTTTGTGAGCCAAGAAGTTATCCGAGAAGTTAAATATTAAATGCAAAATAGTGACGATTCTCGACGTGACTCGACTCGAATGTACGCTGGATGTGGAAGAAGTTCGATTGAGTCGAGATTTTCGATCTTTTCCTTGGTTTGTCTGGCGGTGTGAGGTTTTGCATTGTCCTGCTGAAGGACTATGCGCCTTCGATTGACCAAAGCGGGATATTTTTCACTAAGTGCCGCATACATCCGGTCAAGCTGGGTGCAGTAGAGATCTGCGTCAATGGTCCGACCATTTGGAACCAGCTCAAAGTGAGTAATGCCTTCGAAATTCCACCAAACACACAATAATGCCTTCCTTGAGAGTCGATCACGTTTTGGCTACCGGTTCCGCTACTTGCCCGGGATTCAACCACTGACTTTACTTGTCCGGATTACTAAAATAGACCCACTTTTCATCACAAGTCACAATTCGGCGAATAAAGCGGTCATCGCGCGGATTTTTTTTTTTTTGGATTTTTGAGACCAAGTTCGCCGTTCTTAAATTTTCGATACCAATATTGCGCAGTATTGTTGGAGATCATTCCTTCACCTTCCACTTGGCATATTTTTTTGGCCGCTTCAGTTGCATTCTTCTAGAAAGCTGTTCTAGAAACAGATCTGAACGTTCAAACATTAGCATGTCGTTTGTATCGATAAAATCGATAAGCTAGTCTACCCGTAGGCACTAGTGGGTAAAAAAAGTTTAAAAATCTAGCCTGTTTCCTTTTATTTGTGAACAAGTTTAAGCCATTTATCTTGCCATATAGTTACCGAAAAAAAGACACAATTGAAAGCAACACAAACACCTCTGGAAACAATCACACAAGAAAACTCTCGATCAAAAAGGAAATGACCCTTGTTACGAGAATAATTGTCAGCAAATAAAAGCAGGTTAACAATATCAAGACTTTGGCATACAAGAAAGTGTGCAAAATCTCGGAAACATTTGAAACGAAATGACAAGCGCTAACCAATAGAGCAACCTCAGAAGAAATCTAAAAAAAAAAAACTCAGAAGAATTGAAAGCCGAAAAAAATTCTTCAGAAAATCACAATAAGGCTTAACGGGAAAGAGCAAAAATACGAATGTACCTATGGATAAGATGCATCAAAATCGATCAAGATGAGCTTTGCATCCACGGTTCCGTTTCGCGATCCAACTGCACAGACGAGCAATGTTTCGGTAGCTTTAAGCCAAATGCGACCGCCAGATCCACCCCATTGAAGACGAACGACGTCACGGACGAAAATACCTGAAAATGGAAAAGATACCTGAAAATCACCAAAATTCTCGTCTAGTTGATAAAAAAATCAACAACAGAATACTAAACCTCAACATAAATTTAAGCTTGAATAGTTAACGAGTCAAGCCATGTAGCTAATAAATTCTACTATAGAAGAAAACTTGGAGTCCGGATAAATTTGCTTATCTTATAGCCTACAACTTACCTTTATCCACATCCCACAGCTTGACCAAGCCATCGTGAGAACTTGTCACCAAAAGTCCCGACTCGAGCCATTGTAATGAAGTGATGGCCCGCGTGTGACCATTTACGCCTTGTAAGCGATGAATGCACGAACCACCGTCACGAATGTCCCAAATCTAAAGAAAAGGAAGTGGTTGCCATATGATTGATTAAACGTACCCCAACGCTCCCGTAGGTATAGCAGGAGACCAAAGTGTTTCCGCGAAGTTGCATGCCGAAGTCCCAGGGCCTTACATGACTGAGAAGACGTGCGATGCATGCTAAAAGAAACAAACATAAATGATATTGCAACAGAAAAGCGAACAAATAAAACCCACTTCCTCCTCGTGCATCCCAGAGGCGAATCGTTGTATCAAGACTTCCCGAGACGACAAGATCGCGCTCTGGCTCAAACTAAAACAGAATCCTGATTAAAGCCAAAAATTGACACTTTAACTCACCAAAAGTGAATCGACTTGCCTCGTGTGACCCGTCAGCGTCTGCAAACACTCCCCTGTCTGCACATTCCAAACCTTAAAGAATATATAAAATTCAACAAGGCATTACAAACCTTTACAGTACCATCATAGGCACCACCACCAGACACAACCCGTTTTCTATCAAATTGCACACAGCAAACCTGAAATTTAACTCTGCTTAGGCTATAACTTTGATACACCTACCTCCGCCATGTGGCCAGTCAAAATGTGAAGGCATTTCCCGTCAACGATGTCCCAGACTCGGAGCGTTTGATCGTCCGATCCAGAAACAAGACTAAAACATTATGCTTTTAGCTAAAGTACAAAATTAGATTACTCACGTTGTACCATGTAGACTCATGCACCACACTTCACTCGTATGCCCCTGCAGAACATGACGCTGTGCACCGGTTTGACCACACCAAACGCGTACGGTTCGATCAGTCGAGCCCCTTAAATATTGCAATAGACTTTGTTCTCATAAGTATTTTTGTTTAGAAAATTCTTAGCTTCTTTGGCAACACTTATCAATTGCACTAGCTAGAGCCTATTAACTAACCCGACAATGTATTTGCCATCACCGCTCACTTGAGACATCCAAACACCATCAATCTGGCCACTTAGAGAGAAAGCCGGCTAAATTAAGACGTACAATAATGGTGAAACGAAACAAACTTGAGCATCATCAACATTCCAAATATAACCAGCAACGATACGACCAGACTGAATTTGTAGAGTATTGATCGCATGTTGATCGTAACCCTCAAAAACAATTTTTATAGCCAAAGCATTTGTCCAAACTTTTAGAACAGTGCTTGATTGAATCGGTCGGGATCGCCAATTGGAAATGATTCGCTGCTTCCGCAAGTACAGTGACTTCCATGACGATCGCTCATAACACCTAGAAAAATTTTAATTCAACAACAAGTTGCGGTACTAACTGTCCATATGCGATCTCGCGTTCTCGTCGATTCTGATGTGCTTCTTGAAGGTCCATATGTGAGAAGATATGGATTCCCGCTTCCTCATTTGCTCGCTTAGTCGCCCAGCCTCCGAGAAAACGAAAACTGAACAAAAAGAAGTTAGTGAGAAGCTTGTGACGAACCCTTTACTAATCGTATTCTTAAATGTAATCAAATTCATCGAAACAAACATTATCATTTGTTTTCTTTCGCATTAAAGCTTTCTTTGCTGCAGAATAATCACATTATTGAATCAGTAACAGTATCATCCTATACCTTAGAAGTGTAAGACCCAGTTTAATATCAATCTATCAGATATGTATATTTAAATGTTCTATTATTTGCTCAAAACTGTAACACACCTTGGGGCATCCAATTTCACATATCCTTTCTCCAAACATTTCTGTCGCCACGTCCGATCATCTTCACAAATCCGTTGCCACGTCCGCGAAACGCCAGCACAAGTCATCAAATCGCGCGGTGTCAGATGAGCGATGATGCGATAAGCAACCTAAAAATAAACAATTCATTCCACAAGCTTTAACAAAAGACAAACCTCCTCAGGCAACTGTGACAAGAAATCCTTTTGGAACAATGGTTCGATGATATCCCTGAATTTGGAAATTTCACGGTTTAAGGTCATTCTCTTTACCTCATCAACCGAACTTGTGGATCGGAGAGTGCTCCGACCAGGTTTTGAATTGCAAAGCTCTGTTTAGTCAGAGACTCAACAGCTTCTGTCAACGCTTTTATCTCTTCTGCCGGATTTGCATCAACAGTCACTAAGCGCGCGTTCCGGTCGACGAGAAGTTTCTTGGCTTGTTCTCGGCTCTCGTCGGTCCCTTCCTCGAGCAGCTCCAACCGCTTTTGGTTCAGTTCCACTTGGATGTTGACCGGCTTTGTGAGCACGGGTGATGGCTTTGAGTCGGGCTTCAACTTTGCCGACAGTTTCTCCAGTAGATCCACTTGCAAAGTCTCGAGTTGAGTCTTGCTGCTCTCCGGCTTGTCCGACATCTCCCCTAGATGAAAAATTACAGCAGAGATAACACCGTAAATAAGAAAACGAAAAACCCCAGAGCAAAATACTACTACTACTAGCTACCGTAAATATTGCAATGGTACCGCAGCCTTTACAATGAATGAAAGCTTTCGAATGAAACCAGTCGATAGCTGTTCTAGAAACAGAGATCTGACCATTCAAACATTAACATGCCGTTTGTATCCATAAAATCTATAAGCAAGTCTACCCTTAGGGCACGAGAGCGATGGGGCACTATTACAGTATTCATGGGACATACACATGCTAAACGACTTGACCAGCATGAAATTTATCGCAAAAGGTCCCTTTCAATACACAAAAGGTGCGTGTTTTCGAACTCGCCATCAAAAGACCTACGGTAGAACGTCACTTCTTTGAAAGATCAATTGGGGCTCAGTTTAGACCTTTGGTACCTAACACTTTCTTAATAAATGATAGTAAAAAGGTTGAAAAGAGTAATAACTTTCGTTGTGGAAAGCCGAAGAAACTCTTCTCCCCCTCCCATGCCAATCTAAATCATTCACTGTTTTCTGTTCAATGACAGGAGCTCTAAAAGCAAAAAAACACAAACTCATCAACGTCTCCCAAAATAAAGTTCAAAGTGTGACTGATCAGAGTGGGGGAAGAGTGACCAGATCAATGTTATCGTATTGTGATTTCTTTAGCCAAAAATGAAAATGGAGCAAACTGAATGATTCTGATGGGGAAAAAGCAAAACGACAGGAAAATCAGAAAAAAAAGAAAACACAAACGTTACTACGTCATGGGAAACGAATTTTTGGACCCTTTTCCCCTTTTGCTGTGATAAAATCTTTTATAGTGTGATAAATTAAGTCTAGTCTCGGGGTTGGATTAAGTACGTATTTTTCAAACGCTAGCGTTACACCGCATTTATCAAGATGTTCACGGAGATATCGTAACATGGGTCTAGACAATTTGGTTAACATCCAGGGTGCTGTTGACCATCCAAAGGGTAGGACTTGAAAAGCGTATGCCGAGTTCTAAAACGCGCCCCTTTCGTGTGTTGAAAGAGACTTTTTGCGATAAATTTCATTCTGGTCGAGTCGTTTAGCATGTGTATGTACCATGAATACTGTAATAGTGCCCCATCGCTCTCGTGCCCTAAGGGTAGACTTGCTTATCGATTTTATGGATACAAACGGCATGCTAATGTTTGAACGTTCAGTTTCCAGAAGTATTAATCTGAGAATTGGTTCACGAGAAAGTCAAGAATGTCAGCTTTTGATTGCGATTTTATACATAATGACTTTTAATGTGCAAGCACCTCATAAACCTTATCGATACTTATCGATATTTGTGTATCCATAAGTATTGATAATTGCAATGATTGCAATGAATGAAGTGAAGTGATGGTCGAAGTGTGACCATTTACGCCATGTAAGTGGTGAATGCATAAACTACCGTCGCGAATGTCCCAAATCTAAAGAAATAGAAGAAGTTGTCAGAGGCTTGATTAAACGTACCCCAACGTCCGAGTTGGCATATAGAGGAGATTGCAACAAACTAGCGAACAACGAAAACCCACTTGCACTTCGCTGTTTTGGTGTCATTTTAATGTAAGGTGGTCTTAAATCTTCAAATTCTTTAGTCCCCGTAATTCGATGAAACTCTTCCCCCGCCCGCATGTAAATCTAATCCATTCACGGTTTTCCCTTGAATCACAGAGCGTAAAAAGAAAAAAATGACACAAACTTGTGAACATCTCACAAAAGAAGATTCAGAAAAAAGGTCAAAGTGTGACCGGAGAACGTCTGCTTTAAGAGAATAAAAATAGAACTTTTTATTTTCGGTAAAAGCTCTAGATTGATTGGTGCATTCGTGATTTCGAAAAAGTGCAATGAATAAGTGTACCAAAATTTCACGTTGCCAATCTAATACAATATTAGAGATTTTTCAAAAGATAAGTCTAAGAGTTTCACAGTTTTTTTAGGCACTTCACCGAGATATTAGAATACTCACCGATGCATTGGGTGATATATTGGACGATCATAATCAAATATGCACAGGTTTTCATGATTGGCACAAAGATTTGGGGAACCGCATACCCGGTCTTATGGATTTCGATTTTCGGTTCTCCTCAACCTAATACTTGTAAAAGCTTTAGTCTAAAGAAATGTTTGCTCTTTGAGCTTTGAAATAATTTCAACGTTCTTCCAAATATGTGCTCGTTTGTGTCTAATATTGTAGCGTCTTTTTTACCGAATCTTTTTATTGGATTGTCATTTATGAAATGTCCGACACTTTGTCATGCCCGTAAATTTTCATTTCACGATACATTTCTTTTATTTCTTTTTTGATATTATATCGTAGGAGTCTGAAATGAAATGATTTTAAAATTGGAGCCACATCTGTTGTGGATCGGCTGAGAAATGTCAGCTCGTGAAAATTCGTGACCTTCAACAATCAATCCGGCTCATGTCATGCCAAATGGGAATTTCTGTATCTAGAAGCTAAAGCGAAGTGCGAAACCACATCGAACAGTTGACTCGTTAAAGAAAGCGCTCCTTAAAGCCTGGGACGAGCTTGATGTTGCCTACTTGCGTGTCACAGTTGACGCCTTCCGCCCACGTCTTGAAGTGTGCGTCGCCGTTTGTGCCGCCCATCTCTCTAGACAAGAAAGTCACTCTCACTCATTTTTTTTTCTCATCTGTAACGGGAGATGAAATGTGGGTTCTCAGTGTGAATTTTCCAAGAAAAGGACAGTCGGTGAAAGAAGGAGAAGAGCTAGAGCATAATGTTTTCAATTTCATCTCCCAATCATTGATTAATTCATTGATTTCATTCAATCAATGGCAATGAATGAAATCGATCAATAAATCAATAATTTCAAAGTACAGAAGCGTTCCAGAACATCGCCGCTTTGACTCCGGTAAACGCTTTTAACTATCAGATGACCTTTTATTAGGGTTTCTATGTTTTTATTAAAACTTTCAACATAAATAAAACCACAATGAACGAACTCTAAGTTTCGAAATAAAGACCTTTCGAATCTATGACTTGAAGCCATCTATCGGCAAGTTGGTCGATCCCGCGGCGGTACCACTTCTTGTTCTTAGAGGCGAAAAACTCGCGGCACCCTTTTTCGACTTCGCCGAGATTGTTGGAGGCTCGTCCGCGAAGGAAGTGTGCCATGGAGCGGAAAAGGTGATAATCGGATGGTGCAGGGTCCGGACTGTACGCTGGATCTGGAAGAAGTTCAATTGAGTCGAGATTTTTGATCTTTTCCTTGGTTTGTCTGGCGGTGTGGTTTGTGAGGTTTTGCATTGTCCCCGAATATGGAATCTTTCCATCTCTTTCCTACAAAGTAAAAAATTAAAAATAAATAGTTCAACACACGATAACTTAGTAAAATATGAAAGAGCAGATCAAATGCTACAAAATAGATATTGGACGTATATATTAAACGAATTTGTTAGCTTCAAAAAATTGTTCAAACTTAAAGAGAAAAAAAAAGCGAAAACTTTTGGTTCACCCTAATACTACTACTAGCTACCGTAATAGTACCCGTCCCATGGGTAGACTTGCATCACGAGGCTATCGATACAAACGGTAAGTTCATGTTTGAGCCTTCAGATCTCGGTTTCTCGTACAACTATAAACTTATTTCATTGGAAAGCCAAGAATGTCAGCTTTCGACTACTATCTCACACAGAGCAAATTCGCATAGGTGAGTGCGTTAAAAGGCTTATCAATACACAAATATCGGGAAGTATCATTAAGGTGCCTACTCATTAAAAGTCGCCATGTATAAAATAGCAATCAAAAGCTGATATTCCCGACTTCCAAATAAAACAATTCTCAAATTGAGAGCTATTCTAGAAGCAGAGATCTGAACGTTCAAACATTAGCATGTCGTTTGTATCGATAAAATCGATAAGCTAGTCTACCCGTAGGGCACTAGAGGGATGGGGTACTATTAGGGTATTTACGGTATATAAGCCTACTAAAAGAATTGAATTTATCGCAAAGTCTCTTTAGATACACGAAAACGGTGTCTTTTTGAAAATCACTATGAAAAATCAAAATTCCTACTTCACAATTTTAGTTCTCACTGTTTTCAATCAGAAAACAGATTTAGCTACCTATCAAAACCCCAAAAAGAATCATTTTTGCGTCACCGACTCGCCTTTTTACTCTTTATAAAAAAAAGTTTAAAAGTTTAGACTGTTTGCTTTTATTTGTGAGCAAGTTTAAGCCATTTACCTTGCCATATAGTTAACGAAAAAGACACAATTTAAAGCAACACAAACACCTCTGGAAACAATCACACAAGAAAACTCTCGACAAAAAAAGGAAATGACCCTTGTTACGAGAATAATTGTCAGCAAATAAAAGCAGGTTAACAATATGAAGACTTTGGCATACAAGAAGGTGTGTAAAATGTCGGAAAAATTTGAAACGAAATCACAAGAGCTAACCGAGAGGCCAATGAAACTTCAGCAGAATGGAAAAATCGAAGGAAATCTTCAGAAAATCACAATAAGGGCTAAGACTAAGCGGAAAGAGCAAAAATACGAATACACCTATGGATACGATGCATCAAATCGATCAAGATGATTGTGTCCCCGGTTCCATCTTGCGATCCAACTGCACAGACGAGCAATGTTTCGGTGGCTTTAAGACGGCAATGCCAACTGCCACCGCCAGATCCACCCGATTGAAGACGAACGAGGTCACGGACGAAAATACCTGAAATTGGAAAATGATTAACAAAAGAATACTAAATTTAACATAAATTTAAGTTTGAATAGTTAACGAGCCAAGCTATTTAGTTAATAAATTCTACTTCAAAGAAAACTTGAAGTCCGGACAAATTTGCTTATCTTATAGCCCACTTTACCAGGTAATTTAGAACAACTTACCTTTATCCACATCCCACAGCTTGACCGAGCCATCGTAAGAAATTGTCACCAAAAGTCCCGAGTCAAGCCATTGCAATGAAGTGATGGGCGACGTGTGACCATTTCCTCCTTGCAAGCCATGAATCCACGAACCACCGTCACGAATGTCCCAAACCTAAAGAAAAGGAAGAAGTTGTCATAGGCTTACCCTATGACACCGTACCCCGACGTCCGAGTTGGCATAGGATCCGACCAAAATGTTTCCGCGAAGTTGCATCCCAAGGCTGAGACTTCCATGGCCCACAAAAATTGCGATGCATGCTAAAAGAAACAAACATAAATGATATTGCAACAGAAAAGCAAACAAGTAAAACCCACTTCCTCTTCGCACATCCCAGACGCGAATCGTTGTATCAAGACTTCCCGAGACGACAAGATCGCGCTCTGGCTCAAACTAAAACAGAATCCTGCTTAAAGCCTAAATTTGACAAATCAACTCACCAAAAGTAAATAGATTGGCTCCGTGTGACCCGTCAGCGTGTGCAAACACTCCTCCGTCTGCACATTCCAAACCTTATCGAATATTATAAAACTGAACAAAAAAGCATTACAAACTTTTACAGTAGAATCATCGGCACCTGACACAACCCATTTTCCATCAAATTGTACACAACCCACCTGAAATTTCCCTTTGCTAAGGCTCTAACTTTGATACAAATACCATCCCCAAGTGGCCAGCAAAAATGTGAAGGCATTTCCCGTCGACAATGTCCCAGACTCGCAGCGTTTGATCGGACGATCCAGAAACAAGACTAAAACATTATGCTTTTAGCTTAGGCACAAAATTTAGATTACTCACGTTGTACCATGTAGAATTGTGCAGTAAACAACACTCGTATGCCCCTGCAGAACATCACGCTGTACACCGGTTTGACCACACCAAACGCGCAACGTTCGATCATACGCGCCACTTAAATAATGCAATAGACTTTGTTCTCACAAGTATTTTTGTCTAGAATTTTGTTAGCATTGGCATTCTTAGCATTCATTGGCAACCCGTATCAATGGCACTAGCTAAAATCTATTATCTAACCTGACAATGTATTTACCATCATCGCTCACTTCAGACGTCCTAACAAAACCCATATGGCCAGTTAGAGTGAGAGCCGGCTAAATTAAGACGTACAATAATGATAAAACGAAACAAACTTGAGCATCATCAACATTCCAAATCCGCAACGTATTATCATGATAAAAAGTAACGATACGACCAGACTGAACTTGTAGATAATTCATCGCATGTTGATCGTGACCCTCAAGAACAATTCTTATAGCCAAAACATTTGTCCAAACTTTTAGAACAGTGCTTGATTGAATCGGTCGGGATCGCCAATTGGAAATGATTCGCTGCTTCCGCAAGTACAACGACTTCCATGACGATCGCTCATAACATCTAGAAAAATTTTCAGTCAACAACAAGTTGCGTCACTAACTGTCCATATGCGATCTCGCGTTCTCGTCGATTCTGATGTGCATCTTGAAGGTCCATATGTGAGAAGATTGTGATTCCCGCTTCCTCATTTGCTCGATTCGTCGCCCAGCCTCCGAGAAAACGAAAACTGAACAAAAAGAAGTTAGTGAGAAGCTTGTGACGAATCTTTTACTAATCGTATTCATAAATGTGATCCCGTTCATCGAAACAGACATTATCATTTGTTTTCTTTCGTTTTAAAGCTTTCTTTGCTGCAGAATAATCACATTATTGAATCCGTAACAGTATTATCCTATACCTTAGAAGTGTAAGACCCAGTTTAATATCAATCTATCAGATATGTATATTTAAATGTTCTATTATTTGCTCAAAACTGTAACACACCTTGGGGCATCCAATTTCACATATCCTTTCTCCAAACATTTCTGTCGCCACGTCCGATCATCTTCACAAATCCGTTGCCACGTCCGCGAAACGCCAGCACAAGTCATCAAATCGCGCGGTGTCAGATGAGCGATGATGCGAGATGCCACCTAAAAACAAACAATCAATCCCACAAGCTTTAACAAAAAACAAACCTCCTCTGGCAAATGTGACAAGAAATCCTTTTGGAACAATGGTTCGATGATATCCCTGAATTTGAAAATTTCACTGTTTAAGGTCATTCTCTTTACTCTTCGAGTTGAGTCTTGCTGCTCTCCGGCTTGTCCGACATCTCCCCTAAATGAAAAATTACAGCAGAGGTAACACAAGAAAACGAAAAACCCCTGAGCAAAATCCTACTATTACTAGCTACCGTAAATATTGTAATGGTACCGCAGCCATTACAATGAATGAAAGCTTTCCAATGCAATAAGTTGATAACTGTTCTAGAAACAGAGATCTGAACGTTCAAACATTAGCATGCCGTTTGTATCCATAAAATCGATAAGCAAGTCTACCCTTAGGGCACTAGAGCGATGGGGCACTATTACAGTATTGATGGGACATACACATGCTAAACGACTTGACCAGAATGAAATTTATCGCAAAAAGTCTCCTTAAACACATGAAAGGGGCGCGTTTTAGAACCCGCCATCAAAAGGCCTACGGTAGAATGTACACAAAACCATATTTTGTGGTTCCAATTTTCAGAAAGCTCTATTCCATTCACCCACAAAATAACCTTTAGTGCACCATAAGGTGCACTAAATCGTAGATAAGGTTAGGCTTATCAGCAGGATTGAAAAGACGCTGGGGTGTTGAAGCTGCGGGCGGCGAAGATTTACGGGTATTTAACCTGAACGCGCGAAGTTTTTTTCATTCGTCACATTTAGCCGCAAAGTTTTGAGCACTAAATTTATTTGAATTAACTATAATTGTAAATGAAGCACAAAAGCACCTGAAAATAGCCTAAAACACCTTGAAATAGCTCTGGGTACTGTAATTCAAGTCAGGTCAGAACCGGCCAGAAAGGTCCAGGCCCAGATCTACTCAAGGATTGAGTGTGTCCGACAGAGAAGCCAGGACCTGGCTCTCGACTTGGGCTTGAAACGACCTTGATCCTGTAATGAAATCAGTTTAAGCTACTCAAATCTACCTGAACTAAAGCACAATCTCTATCTGAAGAAAACTTTGAAGCTTTATTGATCGATTGCATTGTTGCCCATGGGTCAAACCAGTTAAAATTGCAGTGACGCTTTTCAGTTCCATCTCTATATATTTAAAGTACAGATTCACATCAATACGTTCACCCAAGAAATGTTTAGAAGCGCATTTTCTTAAGTTAGCAGCACTGCTTGAATTCTTTCTTTTTTTATTGAAAAGAGGGCATCAAAAAAACCCTAGATTCAAAAAAATTGCTTTTTGATTGAGAAAAGGTTTAACTACGGATAACTCGTTTTCGTTTTCAACGTTTTCACCTGCAAATTTTGATATTCTAAACACTAAAAGGGCACAAAATACACGAAAAAAATGGCACAAAGTTCTGTATTTTGTTTGGAAAAACGATCCCTCGGGAGCCGACTTTTTAATGTCATCCGAAAATCTGAGCAATTAGAAGTAATTGAGATTTTGAAAAAATTTCCAATGAAGAGTTGTCTTTTCCGAGAGCTTTTGCAATGAAGAATGGTTTTATGGCAAGATTTCTATAGTTATTTTTCGTTTTTTCTCTACATATGCGTCGTGGTGACGATTTGGAGAAGCAAGAATCGACACTTCGACTCGTCATTTTTTCGAATTTTTCTCGTTATTGGTTTGTGTTTTTATAACTTTTGCTTTTGCTTTTGATTTGGTAGTAAATTTAAGTTTTTCTTTTTTCTTTTTTCTTTTTAATCCTATCTAACGATGTCGGCAGTTAGTTAAACTGCAGTTGGCTGAACGAGGGAAGGGAATTGTTATTGTGGAAGTTAGAAATGAAACAGTTTCTAAAAAAATCCCTAAACTCTGCAAGCTAATATTTTCCAGGCGTCATCGACTTGGCATCGTTTCCATTTTTCCAAATGAATCCCCTCCTTCAATCATCGCCACCCGGAAGGACAATCTTGCAGATCTTTTTGCAGGTCTCAAAAAAAACCAATAAAAAGATCACACGAAGCTTCTTAGCTTTTCCGAACCGGCCACTGCATGTTATCCGTGGTGATGTCATTAAATCGTCTAACAAGTGTTCTCTATCCGTTCAATCATAAAAAGGAATTGTTCATTCAAAAATTCCGATATTAAAAGACTGATTACAGATTTGGGAAGAAAAGAGTGATCGTAATTTGAAAAGAGCGATCGGATTCGCGTTTTTTTTCGACTTCCTCTCGCAATGTCACTCGATTACGTTCATTTTTCTATGGGGTTGGAAAGACTCGTCGCTCGGCTATCCTCAGATTCCCAGTTTTGATGCGGTGAGTGCAAATTCTTGTTCCAAACTTTCTATTCAATTCATAGGTTTTTTTATAAAACCTATGATATTTCTCTATCAACCAAGGGTCATTTTTCGGTGGCACCGGCTCTATTACGCCGTTCTGGTGACTACGGTGGCCGCACTCGGTCTGAGCATGAATCTGATAACTGTGTGGAAAATGAGGTTAGCCGTTTACATTTCTGTTTCTTAATGAGCTTTTGCGAAGAGGCAGGGTTTTAAGTATGTATTTTTATTCTCAAGTGATAGATTATAAGTCAATTAAGAACATAGAGAAAACTTGTGTCAAAGTTGAACTTCCAAATTCCGTGACGAGTCTCGGAGTTTGGGAACTTTTCTATTCTACTCTATAACTCGACTCCCAGTAATCAGATCGACTTGCGGTTGGTTTTAAAATGATCCTCATCAAATTAAATACATAGATCAGTGTTGTTTGATTTGATCAGTGTTTCAACCAAAATTTTCAAGTAACCTGAAAGTTCAAGCCAAACCAAGCCACAAAAGCTATATCAGATTTGGTTCAGGTTTGGTTCAGATTTGGTTCAGATTTTTTGAAAAATCGAATAAATAGCCAAGCCAAAGGAACTCAGCAAATAGGTTTTTCAAAAAAGTCTTTGTTTAGAGTAAATGGAACTAGGATGAAAGGCGTAAAAGCCTAAAGAAGCTAATAAAATTTGATCAGTTAGAGATCAAGTTAGAGTTAGAGGTTTGACCGTTTAGAGGTTTAACCAAGAAACAACAGCAATGGAGTATGCTCGGGATCACCATCTTCAGCACGCTAATTCAGATCCCTGCCGCTCTTTTCTTTGTGAGTTGCGATTCTCTTTTGCATTCGAAATCTCCAATTTTAAGAGCGCTCTTTCCTATACGGCATTCATGGGTAATCAACTCGAGCTGGCATCACTTATTGGCCAATTTGTGAGTCTTTCATTCCAATCAATTTTCTTCAAACGAGAACTCACAATTAGAACGTGGATAGCTCTGTACATTTGCAATTAAATGTCAGTTTTCCCCAAAGCCTAACAGAGCTTTTTGAGCATTTTAGTCTAAACAACTATTGATACACTAAAAAAAATTATAGACGATGATGTCATTTTTTATGCAGAGTTTACTAGGTATGACTAAAATTCACTATCTCTTATCTTGTAATCAAGCCTCTCCAACCAACAAACTTCTCCAGAAGAAGACGTGCTAATATTCGAGTAGCATAAAAGCAAATTCCAGTCAAGTCTAGTCGCTCTGTGCGTCGGCAACTATCAACCCTATTGGGTGCTAGTGACGTCGAAGGAGTTGAGAAGAGAGATGCATTGGAACGCGCGAAGGTGCTTTGGTCTGGTTACAAACAGAAGACCGGGTATGCGGTTCCCTAAATCTTGGACTAGTTAATTGCCCAATTTTAACATTTACCGTTTATGCATACAAATAAAGTTGACCCAATGGGGCTATTCATACTAACTTTCTTGGTGTTTTTATTTAACAGCACTCAACAGCAAGAGCACATTACTCAATGAAATGATCACAACTTGATGCTCCTGAATTTTTTGCGTCATTTTAAATTTCATAGAAATTTAAAGTTTTTAGAAAAGTTTAAAGGAAAACCGTCGAATCCATTCAAAAATTCATAAGACCGGGTATGCGGTTCCCTAAATCTTTGTACCGATCACGAAAATCTGTGCATATTTGATTATGATGATCAAATATATCATTCAATGCATCGGTGAGTAATTTAATCTCTTGGTGAAGTGCCTAAAAAACTGTGAAACTCCTAGACTTATCTTTTGAAAAATCTCTAATATTGTATTAGATTGGCGACTTCAAATTTTGGTACATTTATTCATTGCACTTTTTAGAAATAACTATGCACCAATCAATCTAGAGCTTTTACCAATAAAAAGTTCTATTTTTATTTTCTTAAAGCAGACGTAGCAACTTTTGCCTTTTTCTTTCTTGTCTGTTTTTTCTGTCCTTTTTGCCTTTTTTTCGATCAGAATCGTTCAGTTTCCTCAACATCGATCCGTTCACACTTTGATCTTTTTTCTGAGTCTTCTTTTGCGAAACGTTGTTAAGTTTGGGCCTTGTTTTTCTTTTTAAGCTCTGTGACTCAACGGAAAACCGTGAATCGATTAGATTTACCTGCGGCCGGGAGAAGAGTTTCATCGAATTACGGGGACTCACGAATTTGAAGATTTAAAGACCACCTTACAATAAAATGACACCAAAACAGCGAAGTGCAAGTGGGTTTTAGTTATTCGCTATTTTGTTGCAATCTCCTCTATATTTGTTTCTTTCAGCATGCATCGCAATTCTTCTCAGTCATGAAAGGGCCTGGGACTTCGGCATGCAACTTCGCGGAAACACTTTGGTCGCCTGCTATGCCAACTCGGACGTTGGGGTACGTTTAATCAAGCCTATGACAACTTCTTCCTTTTCTTTTGATTTGGGACATTCGTGACGGTAGTTTATGCATTCACCACTTACATGGCGTAAATGGTCACACTTCGGCCATCACTTCACTTCATTCATTGCAATCATTGCAATTATCAATACGTATCGATACACAAATATCGATAAGTATCGATAAGGTTTATGAGGTGCTTGCACATTAAAAGTCGTTATGTATAAAATCGCAATCAAAAGCTGACCTTCTTGATTTTCTCATGAACCAATTCTCAGATTGCTACTTATCGATACTTCTGGAACCTGAACGGTCAAAGATAAGCATCCCGTCTGTATCGATCAAATCGATAAGTAAGTCTACTCTTAGGGCCCTAGAGGGATGGGGCACTATTACAGTATTCACGGTACATACACATGCTAAACGACTCGACCAGAATGAAATTTATCGCAAAAAGTCTTATTCAACACACGAAAGGGGCGCGTTTTAGAACTCGCCATCAAAAGGTCTACGGTAGGGTGTACACAAAACCATATTTTGTGGTTCCAATTTTCCGAAAGCTCCATTCCATTGTGCTTTTTAGCGCCTCACCCACACCCTTTTCTGCATCTGACGAATGAAAAATTGTTCGCGCGTTCAGGTTAAATACCCGTAAGTCTTCGCCGCCCGCAGCTTCAACACCCCAGCGTCTTTTCAATCCTGCTGATAAACCTAACCTTACCTACGAGATAAGGTTAGGTTTATCAGCGGGTTTATCAGCGGCACTAAAGGTTATTTTGTGGGTGAATGGAATGGAGCTTTCGGAAAATTGGAACCACAAAATATGGTTTTGTGTACACTCTACCGTAGACCTTTTGATGGCGAGTTCTAAAACGCGCCCCTTTCGTGTGTTGAATAAGACTTTTTGCGATAAATTTCATTCTGGTCAAGTCGTTTAGCATGTGTATGTGCTGTGAATACTCTAATAGTCCCCATCCCTCTAGTGCCCTAAGGGTAGGCTTGCTTATCGATTTTATGGATACAAACGGCATGCTAATGTTTGAACGTTCAGATCTCTGTTTCTAGAACTGTTATCAAGCAAAATTTTCGAAACCTTTTAAATGCCTACTTTAAGAGAATAAAAATAGAACTTTTTATTGGTAAAAGCTGTAGATTGATTGGTGCATTTCTAAAAAGTGCAATGAATGCAATGAATACAAATTTCACGTTGCCATTCTAATACAATATTAAAGATTTTTCAAAAGATAAGTCTAGGAGTCTCACAATTTTTTTAGGCACTCCACCGAGATATTGAATTACTCACCGCTGAATTGTATGAGATGCATATCTATATGTGTAGATACTTTCTTCAGGGCAAATTTCCAATGTCGTCAAATACTAGGAAGTAAAAGCTTTGAAATAATTTCAACTTTCTTCCAAATATGTGCTTGTTTGTGTCTAACATTGGAGCGTCTTTTGTACCGAATTTTTTATTAGATTGTGATTTATGAAATGCCCGACATTTTGCCATGCCCGTAAATCTTCATTTCACGATACATTTCTTTTTTGATATTATATCGTAGGAGTATGAAATAAAATGATTTTAAAATTCGAGCCACATCTGTTGTGGGTCCGCTGAGAAATGTCAGCTCAAAAAAGCACAAACTTTTATGACCGTAAAATTCGTGACCTGCAACAATCAGTCCGGCTCATGTCACGCCAAATGGGAATTTCTGTGTCTAGAAGCTAAAGCGAAGTGCGAAACCACATCGAACAGTTGACTCGTTAAAGAAAGCGCTCCTTAAAGCATGGGACGAGCTTGATGTTGCCTACTTGCGTGTCACAGTTGACGCCTTCCGCCCACGACTTGAAGTGTGCGTCGCCATTTGTGCCGTCTATCTCTCTAGATAAGAAAGTCACTCTCACTCATTTTTTTTCTCATTTGTAACGGGAGATGAAATGTGGGTTCTCACTGTGAATCTACTTACAATTTGTGACTTTTAGAATTTTGATTTTCGTTTTGATTTTGGGTACAACGCTTGCTCTGTTTTTGAGTGATGTTTTGAGATTTTCTGTGAAAATCTACCGTTAAACATTCTATTTTTGCGTGTTTATTTTTATTTGATCAAAACCTTTGAAAAGCTATTCAATTATGACTGTGGAAAATAAGATTACTATAATTTTTTTCGCTAAATAGACACTTTACTAATGAATACAATGGTTCAAATTGTATCCTGGAACTCACACGGATAGCTGAATAGCTTTTTGAATAGAAAAGAGCATATCTAGAAAGTGCTTGATTTACAGTGTGACTTTAGGATGGTTTTTAAGTTCAATACAATGATGAAAATGATTCAAAAACGATTCCAAGACCAATCCTGGAACTCACACGGATAGCTGAATAGCTTTTTGAATAGAAAACAGCACATCTGAAAAGTGCTTGATTTACAATGTGACTCTAGGATAGTTTGACCTGTATTTTGACCAGTACAATGGTCAAAATAATTCAAAAACCATTCTAAGCCCAATTCTGGAACTCACACGGATAGCTGAATAGCTTTTTAAGTGTTATCTTCAAAAAAACAAATTGAAAACTTTTTTTGACCTCCTCTCTCCTCCAGTGCCTCTCAATTTACAATGTGTAGCTCTGGAGGTTATTTGGGGTCTAAGCACCTTTTGAAAGAGAAAGCCGAATCTCTGTTGTCATGTATTGGGACTCAAAAATGAGGAGGGAGCAAGCGAAAGGCGGAAAAAGCAAAGGGTTACAAATCTAGCGCCCCTTCATCCCCTTCAGGCCAAACCCTCCTCACCTCTCGATCTTTTCTCGATTTTCTCTCGATCTCTCGCCGATCTGGAACTCACCCTGCCTATTCAATCTCATTTCTGCACTAGATTCAACGCTTGAGCCATATTCAATTATGCCAGCTGAGGGTGAGTTCATTTTTACGATACTCAATGAGTTCCGTGAGAGTCCTATGTACGTGCTCATTTTTGTCGTGAATTGTGTCGTGTTTGATCGTAATCCAATAGAGTGACATCCAGATTAGAAGAATCTTTAGAAATATTAGCTAATTTTAGCCTAGTGGCCCAGAAAACCCTTGGATCTCCATTCTACACTTTGAGATTTCAAAAATATCTAAAATCTCGTTTTTATACCGTAATCCCATAGCGTGACATCCAGATTGGAATATTCTGCAAAAAGATCCAAATTTCAGCTACGGGACTGGAGTTAAGAGCCGAATACAAAGAAAGTTGACCCAATTGGGGCTATTCATACTACATTTCTTGGTGTTTTTACTCAACAGCACTCAACAGCAACATCACTCATCAGCAACAGCACATTACCCAATGAAATGATCACAACTCGATGCTCCTGAATTTGTTGTGTCATTTTACATAGAAACATTTTTTCTTATTCGACTCAAAATTTCAAGCGTTTTCCTTGAATTCCTTGACGGCCTTGATCGCCTTGAACGCCTTGAACGAGAGGCATCCGGTGGGACGGCGAATACGAGAAAGGATGCATCGATCACAAACCTGCAATTCTTGATTCACATTTGCTAATCCGATTCAAAAGAAGTTTAGAAAAGACTTTTGTAGAATTAAAGAAGTTAAACAAATCATATCTAGCTTATTAAATTATTGGAAAAATTGCTATATAATAGGCTGAAAAATTCGTCGAATTTTTTGATCAACTTTTAAAGTTGTAATTTCTCAAAAACTCCATCATCAATTTTCTAAAAATTTTCTAACAAATAAAAGCTATTGTTGGAAAAGTTTTTGCAATCGTAGAACTAGTTTCGAAGATTTCCTTAGTTGATTGGTTTCGTGGCGCCTTTTGAGGGAAATGTCTTCAATTGAGCTTTCCATAGTCGAGCTTTTAGATTAAAAAGATCAACCTCAAAAATTTTAAAATTTAAATTTTCAACCCTCCTTTTTGCAGGCTTCGAAACTCCCCAAATCACAAAAATCCGCCAACAGGACGGCATTCCGCAAAACGATTCCAACATGCTGTGTTCCTGAATTGAAAGTTCGATCCACCACCGCTAAATCACCAATTTTATTCTCAGTCAGCCATTGAATCTCGAAAACTTTGAATTGAAAACTCTGAAATGATCATAATCCTACAATAGAAACTCAAGGAAATGACTAAACAGTAGATTTTGAGCTGTTTTGTTGTCACTTACCGTAACTGTTCAAAATTCCTCCTTCTCAAGGCCTCTCCCTTCTCCCAGAGATCTGTTTGATCTGTTGACAAAAAGAGCATCGAAATGGACATCCCCTTTGTGTTTCCCATCAAATAAAATGTTGTGCAGGGATTAGACAGGAAAGGATTGGAGAGGGGAGGGATTCCAAACCAGCACGGGCAACTCGACTGTCTAGAAAAAGAAAGCCAAGCCAACTTTTGTAAAAAGTCAAAACTTCAAAAAGTTTCGTATAATTACCATCTGGTTGTCCAGCAAAGTGAAGCCCAGCAATTTTTGGATATTTCATTTTTTTGACTGAACATATTCTAATCGACAACTCTCCGCGCCGCCCGCAGTTTCAAGACACCAGCGTCTTTTCAATCCTGCTGATAAACCTAACTTTACCTGCCAGATGGTGCACTAAAGGTTATTTTGTGGGTGAAGCGCTAAAGAGCGCAATGGAATGGAGCTTTCTGAACAGTGGACCCACAAAATATGGTTTTGTGTACATTCTACCGTAGGCCTTTTGGTGGCGGGATCTACAACGCGCCCCTTTCGTGTATTTAAGGAGACTTTTTGCGATAAAATTCATTCTGGTTTTGTGTACATTCTACCTAGATAGCCTACAAAAAGTCAATTCTTTTAGTAGGCTTATCTACCGTAAATACTCTAATAGTACCCCATCCCTCTAGTGCCCTAAGGGTAGGCTTCGATTTTATGGATAAAAACGGCATGCTAATGTTTGAACGTTCAGATCTCTGTTTCTAGAACAGCTATCAACTTATTTCATTGCTGGAAAGCTTTCATTCATTGTAATGGCTCCGGCACCATTACAATATTTACGGTAGCTAGTAGTAGTAGTATTTTGCTCAGGGGTTTTTCGTTTTCTTATTTAGGGTGTTATCTCTGCTGTAATTTTTCATTTAGGGGAGATGTCGGACAAGCCGGAGAGCAGCAAGACTCAACTTGAAGAGTAAAGAGAATGACTTTAAACCGTGAAATTTTCAAATTCAGGGATATCTTCGAACCATTGTTCCAAAAGGATTTCTTGTCGCAGTTGCCAGTGGAGGTTTGTCTTTTGTTAAAGCTTGTGGGACTAATTGTTTATTTTTAGGTCGCTTATCGCATCATCACCTATTTAACACCGCGCGATTTGATGAATTGTGCTGGCGTTTCGCGGACGTGGCGGCGACTTTGTGAAGATGATCGGACGTGGCGACAGAAATGTTTGGAGAAAGGATATGTGAAATTTGATGCGCCAAGGTGTTACAGTTTTGAGCAAATAATATAACATTTAAAAATACATATCTGATAGATTTAGATTAAACTAGATCTTACACTTCTAAGGTATAGGACAATAATGTTATTAATTCGAAAGCAAATAAAGATATAAAGCGAAAGAAAACAAATGATAATGTTTGTTTTAAGAACAAGAGTTTTTCACGTTTAAGAATACGATTAGAAAAAGCCTCGTCGCTAACTTATTTTTGTTCAGTTTCCGTTTTCTCGGCGGCTGGGCGACGAATCGAGCAAATGATGAAGCGGGAATCACAATCCCCTCACATATGGACCTTCAAGAAGCAGATCAGAATCGACGAGAACGCGAGATCGCATATGGCCAGTTAGTGCCGACTGGTTGCGGAATTAAATTTTTTCTAGGTGTTATGAGCGATCCTCATGGAAGTCACTGTACTTGCGGAAGCAGCGAATCATTTCCAATTGGCGATCCCGACCGATTCAATCAAGCACTCTCCAAAAGGTTTAAACAAATGGTTCGGCTATAAAAATTGGTTTTAGGCTCACGATGGACATGCGAACGATTGTCTACAAGTTCACTCAGGTCGTATCGTTACTGGTTCAGATGATAATACGTTGCGGGTCTTCAATGTTGATGATGCTCAAGTTTGTTTCGTTTTACCATTATTGTACGTCCTGTTTCAGCTGGCTTTCACTCTAACTGGCCATATGGGTCACATTCGGACTACTCTAGTGAGCGATGATGGTAAATATATTGTCAGGTTAGTTAATAGACTTTAGCTAGTGCAATTGATACGGGTTGCCAATGAATGCTAACAATGCCAATGCTAACAAAATTCTAGACAAAAATACTTATGAGAATAAAGTCTATGAAAATATTTAAGTGGCGCGTATGATCGAACGGTGCGCGTTTGGTGTGGTCAAACCGGTGCACAGCGTCATGTTCTGCAGGGGCATACGAGTGAAGTGTGGTGCATGGGTCTACATGGTACAACGTGAGTAATCTAAATTTTGTACTTTAGCTAAAAGCATAATGTTTTAGTCTTGTTTCTGGATCGTTTCTGGATCAAACACTCCGAGTCTGGGACATTATCGACGGGAAATGCCTTCAGATTTTGACTGGCGACTTGGGGATGGTATTTGTATCAAAGTTATAGCGTAAGCAAAGTTAAATTTCAGGTTCGCTGTGTGCAATTTGATGGAATTCGGGTGGTGTCTGGTGCCTTGGATGGTACTGTCAAGGTTTGTAATGCCTTGTTTAATTTTATATATTCTCTAAGGTTTGGAATGTGCAGACAGGGGAGTGTTTGCAGACGCTGACGGGTCACACGAGGCAAGTCGATTCACTTTTGGTGGGTTGAATTGTCAATTTTTGGCTTTAATCAGGATTCTATTTTAGTTTGAGCCAGAGCGCGATCTTGTCGTCTCGAGAAGTCTTGATAAAACGATTCGCGTCTGGGATATACGAGGAGGAAGTGGGTTTTATTTGTTCGTTATTCTGTTGCAATATCATTTATATTTGTTTCTTTTAGCATGCATCGCAATTCCTATCAGTGGAGAATCAGTCTATCGCTATCGCCACTATGGCATGCAACTTCGCGGAAACAGTTTGGTGGCCTGCTATACCGGCTCGGACGTTGGGGTACGTTTAATCAATCTTGTGACAACTACTTCGTTTTCTTTAGGTTTGGGACATTCGTGACGGTGGTTCGTGCATTCACGTCCATTTACAAGGCGTAAATGGTCACGCGTTGAACATCACTTCATTGCAACTGCTCGACTCGGGACTTTTGATAACAAGTTCTGAGGATGGCTCGGTCAAGCTGTGGGATGTGGATAAAGGTATGTTATTCCAAATTACCTAGTAATGTAGGCTATAAGATAAGCAAATTTGTCCAGACTCCAAGTTTTCTTCGAAGTAGAATTTATTAACTACATAGCTTGGCTCGTTAATTAGTCAAGTTTAAATCGATGTTCAGGGTTAGTATACTGTTATTAATTTTTTTATCAACTATACGAGAATTTTTGTGATTTTCAGGTATCTTTGTTCGGGACCTCGTTCGTCTTCAGCCTGGCAGTTGGATTTCGCATCTCGAAGCGACCGAAACATTTCTTTTATGTGAAATTGGATCGGAACCGGGAAACAGAACCGAGAACGCAGAGCTCATCTTGATCGATTTTGATGCATCGTATCCATAGGTATATTCGTATTTTTGCTCTTTCCGCTTAGCCTTAGCCCTTATTGTGATTTTCTGAAGATTTCTTTCGATTTTTCAATTCTGCCGAAATTTCATTGCCCTCTCGGTTAGCGTTTGTGATTTCCTTTCAAATGTTTCCAACATTTTACACAGTTTCTTGTATGCCAAAGTCTTCATATTGTTAACCTGCTTTTATTTGCTGTCAATTATTCTCGTAACAAGGGTCATTTCCTTTCTTGCCGAGAGTTTTTTTGTGTGATTCTTTCCAGTGGTGTTTGTGTTGCGATAAATTGTGTCTTTTTTCGTTAACTATATGGCAAGGTAAATGGCTTAAACTTGCTCACAAATAAAAGGGAACAGGCTAGACTTTAAAATTTTTTTTTACAAAGAGTGAAAAGGCGAGTCGGTGACGTAAAAGTGATTCTTTTTGGGGTTTTGATAGGTAACTAAATGTGTTTTCTCATTGAAAACAGTGAGAACTAAAATTGTGAAGTAGAAAACTGAAAAAAAGGTTGCCTAGAAGTTGGATAAAATTGATTTTCAAAAAAACGCGCTGTATTCGTGTATTTAAAGAGACTTTGCGATAAATTTCATTCGGGTCAATTCTTTTAGTAGGTTTATATACCGTAAAAACCCTAATAGTACCCCACGCCTCTAGTGCCCTAAGGGTAGACTTGCTTATCGATTTTATGGATACAAACGGCATGCTAATGTTTGAACGTTCAGATCCCTGTTTCTAGAACAGCTCTCAATTTGAGAATTGTTTCATTTGGAAGCCAGGAATGTCAGCTTTTGATCGCTATTTTATACATAGCGAATTTTAATTAGTAGGCACCTCATAAACGTTATCGCTACTTCCCGATATTTGTGTATTGATAAGCCTTTTAAGGCACTCACATGAGAATTTGCTATGTGCGAGATAGCAATCAAAAGCTGACATTCTTAGTTTTCCAATGAAATAAATATATAGTTGTACAAGAAACCGAGATCTGAAGGCTCAAACATGAACTGTATCGATAGTATCGTTATGCAAGTCTACCCACGGGACGGGTACTATTACAGTATTTACGGTAGCTAGTAGTAGTATTAGGGTGAACCAAAAGTTTTCTATTTTTTTTCTCTTTAAGTTTGAACTATTTTTTGAAGCTAATAAATTCGTTTTCTCTATACGTGCCATATTTATTTTGTAACATTTGATCTGCTCTTTCATATTTTACTATGTTATCCTGTGTTTAACGATTTATTTTTAATTTTTTACTTTGGAGGAAAGAGATGGAAAAATTCGAAATTCGGGTACTTTTGCGCCATAATTGGAAACAAGGGTTCAATGCAATTGAAGCGGTCAAAAAATATGCCAAGTGAAAGGTGAAGGAATGATCTCCAACAATACTGCGCAATATTGGTATCGATTCTGGTACTTCGAGGTTGTACCAAATACATTCAAGCACCGGATGTGATTTAGAATGCTTCTTTTAAAACGAGGATTTGAGTCTAATATGAAGATTGGACGGTTAGACTAAAGCTTTTACAAGTATTAGGTCGAGGAAAAAGTAATGTCGGTTTTTGTCACAAAAATGTTTATTGCTAAAAACATAAACAAACGCACATCAATCAATGAGATATTCTCCATTATTATTGATGACTGGGTCCCATCTTCGTCGCAAGTCCCTGATCCCATCCTCAAAAAAATGGCGAGTTTTCGACACTTATATGTCGACTGCTTTTTTGATCTGTGCATGATTCTCGAACTTTTCTCCCATAAGAAAATTCCTCAACGACCGTAACAAAAAATAATCTGATAGGCCCAGGTCCGAAATATAAGGTGCGTGGGGCGGAGGTTTCCAACTTAGCTCGTCGATTTTTTGGTGAGTGATTTTACAGTGTGAGGTTTTTCAGCATTTCAAGTTTTTTGACAGCATTATCATGCAAAAATGGCACTTTTGTTGTTTCAACGCCCAGTTTCTTGAAAGCCTCGTTAACTCTCATCAACTGTTTTGAATAAAACTCAACGGTGACAGTTTCTCCCAGCTTCAACAACTCATACACCAAACCTTTTTTATTCTACGAACAACAAAGCATAAGCTTCTTTCCATGAATATCGGGTTTTCAAGTTGGTTGTGGGGGTTCACCTAGAGAAAGCCACTGATTTTTGCGCTTCACATTCTCATATGAATTCATGTCAGGACTCAAACTCGGAGACAGCGGCACTACCACCACACCACTGAGTCACTTTTTTTGGTGAGCGACAGTAGACCTTACAAACTCAGAAGTATGAGCTACTAGTGCACTGAGCCTAGTGCACTGAGCACCTAGTGCACTGAGCGTGCACTAGGGGGTCAAATTTCGTTTTTACAGAAATCTAGCGCGCTTGGGTAGAAACTAAAAACACCATCGTGTAGCCCGTGTCCGACTTGCGTAAGTCATCTAGCTTTGCTTCGGATTCGTGCTTCCCAAGTTAGCCTAAACTTAGAGAATCAAATCTTAAAGCCAACTTTTTAGGCCGGAATCCGTGGCGCCGTCGAACCCTGGCAATCATCTTGTTAACATATTTGATGTCGAATTTTCTCTCGGTTTTAATCACTGTTTGGGAGATGTTCGATCCAGCATCACTTTGGAAACCTGGGTGAGTTCTGGATTAAAAAAAAGGCATCAAATAGTCACCAAATAGCCAATCAGACCCGTGTCCGACTTGGGAAAATTTCGAGAATTTTTCGCATACAATTTACATTAGTTTGGTTGAGAGGTAAATTACACTTACCTACCTAATGATCGAGATCAAAAATTTGAAGATTGAATTGGAAAAAGTGTTTTTTCTATTATCTAAGATGCATTTAGGATACGCAAATCAGTGATAAATTCACTCGAACTAACAGAACTAATCAGTGATACCGAAGAAGAGTCAGTACCGAAGAAGGAATTGTCGGATCAAGAAGCCTTTGAATATTTTTCGAAATTTGAAAATTCTTCGGAAATAGTTATTTATTCATGTGTAATGTTAAACTACCTAATTTAGAATTTCTTCGGTTACCAAAAAGATCTTTCCAAAAAGTTAGAAGCGAAATTGAACAATCACCTTGATTTGGTAAGTTTAAACAAACACTACAATTGTGCTATTTGCGATTGCAATGTTTTTACATTGTTAAGAGTTTTTTTTAAAGAAAACGTTGAGATAAAACAGAGACTTCTAAAGAATAGCGAACAAACTGCTTTTCATAAATATGGACTAATACTTTTGCCTTCCAGAATCTCGAGAATGTTGCATCTTCTTTTCTCAAGTTGAAGACATTCATCATTTTCTATCTAAACTATGAAGATCGGCTTTTGAAAATCAGGTTTAAACAATTTAAACAAACACCAAAAATATTGTCTTGGTGTTTGAATACCTTGTATCACAATATAAAGGGTGGCTAATAAGTATTAATGAATTAATGTAGAGAGAATGGGAAATTTTTTGAGATAAACACATATTTTTTAACATTAACCATCGTTTAAAAAAAATGATTGAAAAGTGGCAAAAAAAGAGCTGATCAGCCGATAAGCGAAGAATTATAATATAGAGATGAGCTGCATAAATTGAAGCTTTTCAAAGAGATCGCCGATCAAGTGATTGATGCCGGATCCGAGCTTTACAAGTTCTCAGTCTGCCTAAAAACAGAAACACATTTAATTTAGGAAAAAAGTTAACGAGAAACTTGTTGAAGTTCTTTACTGTGAATTCTTCCGTATTATTCAGCACGTAAGTTTTTGCTTGAGCAACTTGAGTTTCATTGTTTTGTTATCATTATAGGATAAATTGGACGAGCGCTCTGATCTTTTCACTGCAATCGATATTCTTAAGCGTCTAAAGCTTTATGAATCCAAAGTAAAGCCGTGGCTATTCAAAGAAACTGTTGAATATTCAAACAAAATGTTTCCGAAATGTGGAATTGATTCGACTAAAGATGAAATGATGATAAGTTTTCAAAAGATGAACTAAAGATGAAAAACTAGGAAGGGGTGTGACCCTCGATTACAGTATTTACGGTAACAATAAGGAAAACTTTTGTCGACAGGGGTTTTCCCTTTACTATGGATTCTTAAAATTTGAAGATTCCTATCGTTTTGCTTCTTGTTAAGCAAAAAAACTCTATTTCTAAATTCTAATTTTTAGGCAAAAAATGTATGGAAAAACGTGAAAGAGCATCTTGAAAAAGAACGTTTACCCTTGGTATTCAGAAAAAAAAAACTATAAAATTATCTTAAAGTTTAGCTTCCGTCGTTCGTTGTTTCCTCAATAATTGAGACAAAAGAAAAGGCTCTTCTTGCCGAATTCGAATCTCTGGACAAAGACACTGGTGGCCAAATTGAGGTGCGTTACTTTATCATTTTTTGATAGGTCTACACACTTAGTGGATTTCGCGACTCGAATTTGATTTTCTTGTTTGTCAAAGTTGGGAAATGAGACTTTGTAGCTTCTTTATATGGTTTCCGCTCAGATACTAAAGCTAGCCTCATTTTTAAAAAAAATAGTTTTAGGTGAAAAAATTCCAAGATCATTGCTACTTTTATAAGATTTAACTTGAAATTTGGTAGACTTATTCATGTTTTTCATAAATATTTCGTTTAAGCAAAATTTTCTAAACCTTTTAAAAGCCTGCTTTAGAGAATAAAAATAGAACTTTTTATAGGTAAAAGCTGTAGATTGATTGGTGCATTAGTTATTTCTAAAATGTGCAATGAATAGATATACCAAGATTTCACGTTGCCAATCTAATACAATATTAGAGATTTTTCAAAAGATAAGTCTAGGAGTTTCACAGTTTTTTTAGGCACTTCACCGAGATGTTAGATTACTCACCGATGCATTGGGTGATATATTTGAAGATCATAATCAAATATACACAACTTTTTATGATTGGCACAAAGATTTGGGGAACCGCATACCCGGTCTTATGGATTTTTTAATGGATTCAACGGTTTTAACGAAACCGATGGTTTTCCTTTAATCTTTTCTAAACTTGATGCACAAACTTTTAGGAAATGCTTAAACAAAATTGCTATGAGGAAACAATTTCTTTGTGGGTGCAGAAGAATGGACGAGCTCATCTACAAAAGTATTTACCAGAAACAGAAGAAGAAAAAAGAAAAGAAAAGAGAAACAAAAGTCGATTTATTCAGGTTGAAACAATAGTTTAGTTTGAAGAGGGATAAAATCTAGGAATTTCTAAAATACATGGAATCAGCTTGCAAACGCTTGCGTGCTGTTTTTGGAAACCAAATATGGTAACGTTCTTGTGCACAACTATACATGTAAAAAATAAAATTTTAAAGCAGCCGGATGATCAATGGCTGGCCATGGATTTTATCACCATTTAAGATTTTATTCAATTTGCACCCGGATATCGCTGAACTATTGGTTAATTATCTTGATACACAATACGAAGCCCTTAATGAAGAGGTTAGTCTATTACTGAAACTGCATTAAGAAAAGCATTCTTTTGTTTAGATTAAACAAGGGGAAAACGAAACAAACAACCTGAATGCATGGGAACCTGGAAAAATTGTCGAAAATGTTGCTGTATCAAGCAAGATCTTAACTTTGCTCGGCTACTGTAGTGACAGAGTTTCCTTTGAACTGTGGGCGATAATATAAGTAACAAGCTATATAACTTTCCAATCTTAGTTTTTATCGAGAAAAATTAGCAAGAAAATTTCTCAATGAGCCTCAATTTTGCGAAGTTGACCAACAACTGGTAAATGAAATGTTTCAAACAACAAAAGCATTCCTTTTCCAGCAAATCGCGTTGACACTTCGCTTTGGTTCTTCTTTTATTCAAAAGCTTCGTAAAATGCAAGCCGACCAAGAACAATTTGCTGTTCATGAAAGAGAATTTCAAACTTATTTAAACAAGGAAAATCACGTGAGGCATTTTCATTTTCAATTAAAAAAATTTTAGCGTTTATCAATCGAATTTCAAGTAATAGTTGTTGCCTCCCACATTTGGCCTATTCAATTCGAAACATTTACTCGAGCCCTTCCGTCTGCTGCAACAACGGCGCTAGAATTTTTTACACAGTATTATGAAGGGTATTATACATAGTTAGTAGTTTTCTTTAAATTACAAATTGATCAGAAAGCACAACAATCGAAAGTTGCGTTTAAACACATTGCATGGAAAAGCAGAAATTATCGCAAATTTTAATTGCGATTCGACAGTTTCCCTGACTGCAATTCCACCAGTTTGCTTATGCGTCAACACTCATCAAATGATTGTTTTGATGCTCTTCAACGAAAAAGTTTATTCCAAAGTTATTAAACAAACGGTTTTTTTAAGGAAACCTGGACATTTCGTGAACTCGTAAAACGGACAGATTTTTCGCTTGCTGAATTGGAGAGCACAGTCAGCCCAATGCTTTCTGGAGATGAATGCCACAGAGTTTTGCGAAGCTCGGGAACCGCTGGAAAGAATGGTGGGAAGACCGATGAAAAAAAAGAAGTGTTTTATAAAAATTTCTCACAAAAACTTTAGAACTCGATGACAAACTCACTGTGAACGATGAATTTCCTTTTACGAAAGATAAAATTAAAATACCAACAGCGAAGCTTACGGTATGGCAGTTAATCCTTACAATAAAGATACATATTTACGAGCTATACAATATTTTAGAACAACCATGAAGATCCGAGGATTTTACAAGTGAAAAACGATAAAGAAACTGAAATTAGATGTGCAATTATGAGGGTGATGAAGAAAGAGAAGGAGATGGCTTACTTAGATCTTCGCAGCAAGGTTGGATTTTTGATAGTGAGTCCAGCAGATATCTTTCCTTGCCTATAGGTAACCGAGAAACTTTCCAACCGTTTTACATTCGATGACAAGTCATTCAAACAACAAATTGAGCATCTCATGGAAAAAGGATACATTGAGAGACAAGGCAAAGATTTTATTAAATACCTGGAATGAACAGTTTGAGCTTTGAAATAATTTGAACTTTCTTCCAAATATGTGCTTGTTTGTCTCTAACATTGTAGCGTCTTTTGTACCGAATTTTTTATTTGATTGTCATTTATGAAATGTCCGACGCTTTGTCATGCCCGTAAATTATCATTTCACGATACATTTCTTTTATTTCTTTTTTGATTTTATATTGTAGGAGTATGAAATAAAATCATTTTAAAATTGGAGCCACGACCTGTTGTGGATCGGCTGAGAAATGTCAACTCAAAAAACCACTAACATTTATGACCATAAAATTCGTGACCTGCAACAATCAGTCCGGCTCATGTCACGCCAAATGGGAATTTCTGTGTCTAGAAGTTAAAGCGAAGTGCGAAACCACATCGAACAGTTGACTCGTTAAAGAAAGCGCTCCTTAAAGCCTGGGACGAGTTTGATGTTGCCTACTTGCGTGTCACAGTTGACGCCTTCCGCCCAGGACTTGAATTGTACTTCGCGGTTTTTGTCGTCCATCGCTCTAGACAAGAAAGTCACTCTCACTCATTTTTTTTTCTCATCTGTAACGGGAGATGAAATGTGGGTTCTCTGTGTTGAATAAGCAAAATACTAAAGACTACAATTTTTTGGTATTAAGTATTTGAAAATTAAAACCAATACTGCTTTGCTATTATAGTATCTTCAAATCC